TGAGAGCAATTTGCCCCATCATACACACCTCAAACTGCTGTGACATTTCCTGCTCAGCATGATGGTAAGTGATGGTAAAGCCCAAAACAATGACTGCAAAAAACATTTCCAAAGGACTATAAGTTCTTCTACATACATGTTTATTGGTTCTTAGAATAGACTCAACCTAAATCCATTATCAAGTGAACATTGGATAAATAAAAGGAGAATATATAAAATGAATAGTTATTTAATCATAAAGTGAAAGAAAAACTGAAAGATTAAGAAAAAAATAAAAGAATTGAAAGCAGGAGCAACAAGCCAGATTCAGAAATTCAAACATCTCATGATTCCTATAATTTTAAATGTCTGGAGATGTTTCATTATGTTTGCAGTTTTTAAGTATTATGCTTTTCCTAAGATTTGCTTTTAGTTATATAGAAGGATGTGAGTATGTGCACTCAGAAGCCAAGAGAGGATGTCATATTTCTTGGAGCTGGAAATATAAGAATTTGCGACAAATCCAACATGGGTGCTAGGAACTGAACAAATTCCTCTGCAAGAACAGCAAATACTTGTAAATTCTGAGTCATATCTTCAGTCCCAGGCTGTCTGAAGCTTCAGACATGTTTTACAAGTTGAGTCTATATCAGATTAAGAAGGCAAAACGAAATGGAAAGTTAGGCAAAGATTTAACACAAGGTAAATGAATGGAAATGAGTTGGGATTATTATGAATTGTCAGAGCTAAATACTGAAGTTTATATTTTTGCTCAGTGTGTTAATAAGGTCCAGCATGGTGGCACATGCCTTTTTCAGCACTTGTAAGGATGTAGGAGCTCAGTGAGTTTGAGGCCAACCTGGCCTACATTGTGAGTTCCGGAACAGCCAGGACTACATTGAGAAATTTTGACTCAAACCACCAAACCAAAGCCCAAACACATTAATAAAGTAGAAGTATTAAAACTTAAGTATATATTAGAATGTGACTGTGATTTGTAAGCTTACTCAGTAAAGATAAGTGACAGGAAATGTTAATCTTAGAATTTTAGATGTCAGAAAACCCAAGCAGAAGGAACTCTTGCCCTTGTCCTTAAATCACAGGGTTCTAGTTCTCTTTATGACATCACCTTTCCACATTACCAAACTTAGGCCCTGGCAAGTCACAAGTGGGAGAAATGTCTATACCAAGATTGTAAGTCGTCATATTATATTGTCTTATCTTTAAAGTGATGCTTATCATGTTGTTACTAAGCCAATCATAAACATGGGTGAAGGTATTAATAAGGCCCTCACTCATGTGCAATAGTGTTAGCTACTCCAATGTAAGATATTTTTGTTCTACTTCAGTAAAATGTAGAGACTCGGACTTTTGTTTCTTTTTTCTAGAAGTCTTAATTTAATGTCACAAATTATTTGGAGATTATCAAATGACATATGAATTATTGTTTACTAGGGGCTTATCATCTCTCTCTGAGCTACTTACAAATTTCTGTCCAAATAAGTTAGGAAAAAAACTAGATAGATTTAAAGATAGATAGATAGATAGATAGATAGATAGATAGATAGATAGATAGATCCAGTACCTTTAAATTATTTAAAATTGATGAAGAAAACCTGAAGGTGAGATGAAAGAATGGAATTCTGGAATATAAAGGGAAGACAGGCCTTTTTAAACATTTAACAATTCCTGTAAATTGCAGATGATCTATTCTGTATAAATGTGAATATCAAAGAAACTTTCCTCTGGGCCCCAATGACTACTTCTTTGGAAAATATTGTTACTTAAAGAAGAGTCTGAAAATGCTCTGCATGCATTTGTCATAAATATGTCTAAGTTTCGATAGATCTGGATATATAAAACTAAGCACTCTTCTGGAAAAAATAACATGGTATCCAGAAACTTATTCTGTAGACCGGACTAGCATCAAAGTTAGACATCTCCTGCCTCTACCTCTCTTGTCTGGGTATTGTATCACATCAATAGGAAAAGCATATAAGACAAGCTCCATAGTATTAATCACCACCATTCTACATCTACGTCTCTGATATCAACCATTCTATCTTTTATCTCTGAGATCATCTCTTCCCTGACTTTCTATGCTACCTTAGTTTCCAAATGCAATATGTTTGAATTCTCTTTCTTGTTTTTACATCTCTTTAAAGCACAGTATAATGTATTTGTTGGAAATACTTCCAAATATTTAATGTGGCATTTAATCTTTATGAACAACCCTATTGGTGGAACTTTTTTTGGGAATATACTGCATTTCCATACTTATTTGTTTATATAAATTTAAATTTTTATTCTCTATTTCTTTATTAATATACTGACTAGTCAACATAAAGATATTTTCTCATCTGTTAATGAAGGCGAGGAAATAGAATCAGCCTAGGTGTCTATCCAACGATAAATAGATTGTGAAATTATGGTATACAGAGTGGAATTTTATTCAGTGGTGGAGAAATGACACTAAAAGTTTGTAGGGAAATAGATGAAACTGAAAAATGTTTTAGTAAATGAAGTAACCTGGTATGTGTATGTATGTGTGTGTGTGTGTGTATGTGTGTGTGTGTGTATGTGTGTGTGTGTGTGTGTGTGTGTCTCCATGTGTAGGATACATAGAGTGAGAAATGCAGGGAGAGAGGGATTTCTGGGGGACAGTATCAACTAAATCTAAGTATGTGTGAAAATAGCACAAGGAAATTTATTTTATATGCCAATTCAATAAATCAAATAAAAATGACCAGAAATTGAAAGAACTAATAAATAAAAGAGTTCTGCCCATAGTGGGTGGATCTTACCACATCATCATTGTAATTAAGACAGTCCCTCACAAGCATTCTTTCCCTCCAATGATCCTACACTGTAATCAACAATTAAAGCTTACCATCACACAAACAATTAAAATCTAGAACCTTAGTATACTCATTTAAAATGCATTGCTTTTATGGATTCTATTAACTATTTTATTTACCCACGCAGCTCCATTATGAATAGAGATATAGTGACTATTCTTTAGTCTCCTTGCTTCTATTGCTCTTGGGCATGGGATGGATACTAGCTGCAGAGCTCATGGGAGTGAGTATTTTGCTTTCAGATTATAGGAGAAAGTTCATCTTAATTTACTGATTTTAATGTTAACAGCACATAGTTTCTAGACCAACATTATTGAAATTTGGAAGACATTTTCTAGGTCCATTTTTCCAACAAATGAATGAAATATAATCGTATACTATTGTTTTCATAATTGGTTCAACATATACTGAATTGATCGCATTATGTTTATTTATTATTTTCATTTAGGATGAATGTACCAGTTGATCTTATTTTTAACTAAATTATATTGTTGAGTACAAACCTCAGTCACAATATTATTTGGTCCATCATTTTATTTTTTAGTAGAATATATTTTAATTTAAAGTATTATAGATTTGATTATTAATGAGTGTTTGTTGTAATACTAATTTTAATACTAATCTTGGAAGCCTGGGGTATGTTAATATTGGCTCAAAGAAAGATTCAAACTCTTTTCTCCCCTCCTAGTTGCTTTATTCTGTTTAACTAATTTTATGCAAAAATTCAAAGCAGTGATTTTAAACAATTGCTTTGCATAATGAGATATTAAATCTGTAGGTTCTGTTTTGCAAACTACTTTAATGTCCTATTAGTTTGAAACATTATTTTGCATGTAACTCTTAACTTTTTCAAAAAAAAGTCTTCATTAACATTAAATCAGAACAATTAAAATTGCTCAGTTCTGTATATTCGTCTAACAGAATATTGCTCTTCCATTGGGACAAAGTGTGAACATTAATTCTAACTTTATACATATAAAGTTATACATATATATATGTAAAGTATACATACATATACATATATGTGTGTGTGTGAAATATAGGCGATAAAGAGGCAGTTTATTGTATGAAGTGATTGTTGTCCGAGCATAAGGACAGGAGTCTAACCAGAATACAGGTAGCTGTCATTAGTGTGTGAATGCTTGGTTATAATCGCAGAGCATGGAAGGCAAAGACAGAGTTGCTAGAGAAAGCTAGTTTGACTCACTGAATCAGTGAACTCTAGGATCAAGTGAGATACCATGTTTCAATATGTATTGAAGAGAATCATTGAGTTTGACTTTCTATATATATACACACATACACATGCATCAACATGCACTTTTACCTGCACATAATACAGACATGCATACATATGCATACAACATACACATACATGTCCAACTAATAAACTGAAAACTGAGATACTAGGTTTACATAAGTATATAATTAATACTCAGATTCAGTCAGATCAACAAAAGATATCCTTTCGTTCCATAGTAGAACATTATAGGACAGTCATACTAATACATATTACCATTGGTCTTTGTTTAAACAAATAAAAAAAGTTAATAAAATATTCTTTCCTTCTAACCAATATTTCTCTAGGATTAAATCAGGTAAGTTAAAAGTTATTAATGGAAATCTGTTTACAAAATACCTTATTAATTTGTTTTATTTTTCTAGATTATGTATACAATGTAATTCTTTGTCAATACTTAGAGTACACAATCCTGACACATGCCCACATACATATATTATTTAATGACCTAGATGTTGCTAAATTATGAGAAGATATTATTTGATCTAGTTAAACATGAGTTATAAAGTGATATCTTAGCTAAATATCAATTCCAAGAGGAGTCATGCTATGACTTAAAAAAATAACTTGATCAATGTTTTACAAATTATTTTAATAAGACTCTAAAATTCGGATGTGAGAAGAAGCTAGGTAAGTATATGTGTATCTTTCTCTCACACATACATATTCTTCTCATCCTAACTTAGTTTTGTTAAGGTTGGAGTAATTTGTTCAACCCTACTCTCCTGTAGATGAAATCAACTTGCATAATAAGGAGAATCCAATAATTGTCTAATAGGTGGTGATTTTTTACATACAATAATGATCATTTGATATATGATACTTGTCTAAAAAGTTTTTATTTTTCTCTTTTATTTTAATAGCCTAAAAGTAACATATGGACCATATGATAATTATATTCCAGGTAAGATGAAGGTCAATATTTATTTTTTGAATGCAAGAGTTTATTTTAAAATATTTTCCTTTCTATTGAGAATAAATTATTTTCACTTTTCCTGATTACAGTTTTCCTTCCTTCGAAACCTCCTAGTTCCTTTCCTCCACTCCCCCTCATCAGGATCTAGTCCTTTTCTGTCTCTCACTAGAAAAAAACAGGCTTCTAAGAGAAAATATAAAACTTAACAAAATAAAATATAGTAACAAGACAAAACCCACCACATCCAAGTTGAATAAGGTGTAACAACAAAAGCAAAAGAGCCCAAAATATGGCCCAAGAGTTAGAGACCCACTCATTCACACATTCAGGAGTCCCATTAAAATCTCTAAACTACAAGTGTAGAATACAGTCACGGACCTGGTGAAGACCTGTGCAGGCCTTGTGATTTCTGATTTAGTCTCTATGCGTTCATATGACCTTTGTGAAGATGGATTTGATATCTTGGTGACCTCCATCCCTTCTGACTTTTCCACTTCATTTTCTGTGGGTTTTCTGAGTCTTGAGGAGAGGAAGTTGACACACACATTCCATTTAGAACTCTCTCTCTCTCTCTCTCTCTCTCTCTCTCTCTCTCTCTCTCTCTCTCTGTGTTTGTGTGTGTGTGCGTGTGTGTGTGTGC